TGGGGGAGGAGGGGGAGGAGGACACGGAGGAGCTCTTCTACGAGTCGCTCGACCGCATCCTCTCCTCCTCGGCCTCCTCCACCTCCGCCTCCGCCTCGGACGACGACGGCGCCGACCTCCCGCGCCGCAGCCGCCGCTACGATGCCGCCGCGCTCGACCTCTGGACCTCCCAGCCGGCGCCCATCCAGGAGCGCCGCCACCGCCTGCTCCAGCTGATGGGGCTCGCGGGGGACCCTTCCCTCGCGCGATTCGAGATGGGCCGATCCGCCTCCTGCGACGACGTGGGGCCGCGGCCGGCTTCTCCCGTCTCGCGGTCCAGATCGGGCGGGGCCTCCACGGCGAAGCCTCCGGTTGGAGGCGGCCGTTTGCGCCCCACCTCGCCCGACGCATCAGATGCCAGTGCCACGCTGGAGGCGGTCGAGGAGGACCCAAGCTGCTTGATCAGAAACCTCGACGACGGCAGCGAGTTCGTGGTGAGGGAGGAGTTCGGGCTCCGCGAGGTTGGTACCGGCCGCCAGCTTACTGTGGAGGAGTTCGAGCTATTCATCGGCCGCTCCCCCATCGTCCAGGAGCTCATGCGCCGCCAAAGCGTCACCAACTCCAACCCAAACTCCAATTCCCAAAGTGGCGCCTCAACCCCCATGGAGAGGTCCAGCTCCGGCTCCAGCAATGGCGGGGCGCGTTCTAGGCGGCGCAGCAGCTGGCTCCACACCATCCGCAGTGCGGCTGGCTCCATGGTCACCTATTCACGTGACCGCCGCGGCGACGACAAGGACACGTCCTCAGAGAAGGGTGGCCGCCACTCCAGCTCGGCTACGGAAGACAGCCAGGATGGTGTTGCACGCCATGGTCCAGACCGTGTCAAGGTGCGCCACAACGGCAAGTCATACAAGGAGCTCACTGGCCTGTTCATGAACCAGCAGATACATGGGCACAAAGGGTCCATCTGGAGCATCAAGTTTAGTCCTGATGGGCGATACCTTGCAACTGCTGGAGAGGATTGCGTGATCCATATTTGGGAGGTGTTGCACTCCGGAATGATGAAGGAGGAGAGGGAGGTGGAAGATAATGGGACCTGCAATCCTTTCGCTGCCATGGTATGTGATGAGTCACCGGAGCCAATGTTAGCATCGGTGGCTACAGAGGGCAGCCATTGGGAGAAGAGGCTGCCGGCAAAGGATCTGCACAGTCGGAGATCTGGGGGCTCAGACCAGTTGATGGTGCCAGAGCATGTGTTTGCACTGTCTGAGAAGCCTGTTATAACCTTCGCAGGGCATTTAAAGGATGTGCTTGATCTCTGCTGGTCCAAATCTCAGGTAAAGCTAACACGTTGTAGTCTTGCTTCAATTCCAATGTCCGAATACTAGTTTTGAGTGTAATCTTAAGATGCAGAATGTTCTTTGAGTAGAATGAAGTTCAGAATGGACAATAGTCCCAGTGATTAGATAATAACTACTCCCTCTCTAGTGATCTAAAAAGTCTAGTATTTCTTTACGGAGGGAGTACATTTCTGTATATAGAAATGGAAAACCAGACATAGTTATCAGACTAGGGACACCACGTCGTCTTACCTTGTCAAGTTGGCATCCTGATCTGGCGTAAATTGCTGGTATTAGAAATGTAAATCTAGCTGGTTCAGGATTAGGCAATCTGATGCTGAAGCAAAAGACTTATGAACTAGGACTTTTGAGAGAGGTAGGGACTGTGGCCACCCCGGGGGCTAGGTAGAAGAACTGTTCTTCTACTTTCTTTCTTGAACAGAGGTGTACGAGAGTCCAATTGTATAGGACGACTTAATTGATCCACAAGATGGATGTGAGATTTGAACTCTCTATCTTGTCCCTAACTTGGTGCTGGGTCATGTACTACACATACATAACAAATACACATTAATCTGTTGGATTATTTGAAAATAATTATGTCCAGAGCCTAGCTGGTAGACTACATCATATAAATTTAACAAGGTTTGATGAAAAGTATAAGCAGTTGCAAACCTTGTCTCGTCAGTTTTGCAATGTCGGTTTGCTGTTAGCATTATTTCTTGCTCATTTATCACATTAAGGCTTAATCCATGTAAACCCTTGAGCTCTAGCAAATTGCATTATTTATTATGTATCTATTGTTCTAATTGGTTCCATTTATTGAAGCACTTTGTTTTACTCCATGTCAAATTTATAAGTGGATTGGCTAGGGCCAGGACACTGGGATGAGAGACATGTAAATTTTGCACTGTTTGCTTGGATAGAGAGTGAGAGGAGAGTTGTCAAACCTTCATCAGTGACACAAGCTCAGATTCCGAAAAACTATTATGAGCTGTTTTAAGCTGTGAACAGGGGTGGCGCCAGCATAGGTGTAACTGTGTGCAGTTGCATATTACTTCGGCCATTCTGAATTTCTGACCACGACACACGGATACGCGCACTCACACACAAAAGAAGAGAAAAGGATAAATGACGATTTTCTCGGAAATATTATTTAAGTACCTCTGGTTAATATCATCCGCCACCTAATCAGGTTTCTTGGTCATTTATACTTCCTTCACATCTCTAAATTTACATTTATAGCGCAAATTGTATATGGTGTGCAATTTTAATTGAACTCCAGTTTGCAGTGTGTTATAGTTTAGTACTAATTAGGACGTTGGCCATCTTGTCCAAAAAATATTCGCGACCACACCTGCACCCGTTTGCACACCTGAGTGTGTGGAAACACGCACACAGAGAAGAGAAAATTGATAAAAATAATATTTCTTGGCAATACCGTTAAAGTACCGCCGGTTAATTACTCCATCACTTGTCTACTTAACTCAGGTTTCCTGACTATGTATACTTCCTTGGCATATCTAAATTTGTGTTTAGTGCCAACTCAGCATGGTGTATAATTTCAATTGAACTTCAGCTTGCAGTGCGTTATACAGTATAGTACTAACTAGGACATTGGCCATCTCGCCCAAAAAAATTACTCGCTAGCTGAATGTTGACTTCAGTTTGTTACCATGCTGTCCATATCATTGTAAATTCAGTTCGCTAGCCCAAGGAGCCGTCCATGGTACAGAACCTTAACATGTATTTTCAGGTTTCTACGCAAGAAACTCTAGGAATCTCTTCCGAGTACTGTAATAAATAAATAAATATGCGAAGGACATTCTGCTTCTGAATATATTGCATCATAGAGATCCTTCAATATGCACTTGGGTTTACTTTGGTCCCAAAAGTTCAAACTAGGTTTATATGCCCTTAAATTTGTAGCCATGTGACAAAAGGCACATTCAACAATTTATTGGGGGAATTAGCTGCATGAAAGACGAATACCGAATTTGCAAATTAACCGATTCCATCTACAATGTTGACTTATTATTGAAGTTAATGCATTTCAAGCTAATTTTAAAATCAGGGACCTCTGATATAATCACCTATCCAAACGATAATTGTAGGAATGTAGCAGCACACTTTGTTATGGTTTATTTTTGTTACCAGTTATTCCAGTCCCTGAGCTTCCTTTTGTAACTGATGTGCAGTACTTGCTTTCATCATCAATGGATAAAACTGTACGGTTGTGGCACATGTCAAGCACTTACTGTTTGAAAGCCTTCTCCCACAGTGACTATGGTAAGAACTAAGAACTATGCTTTCAGAAGATTTCTCTGCATGGGCGCTTAAACGCACTGATAGCACTGTCCTGAAATTTTTCATATCATTTCTTGATTCAGTGACTTGCATCCAGTTCAACCCTGTTGATGATAGATACTTCATTAGTGGTTCTCTGGATGAGAAGGTTCGAATCTGGAGTATACCGAAACGTGAAATTGTTGATTGGGTTGATCTACATGAAATGATTACTGCCGCATGTTATTCCCCCGATGGACAGGTTTGACTTATTTCATAGTTCTAAATTGGTCAACAGGGTTTATTGGCTTATTGCATGTTCATCCTAACATGTTTTTATATTTTCTGCAGAGTGCACTCATTGGCTCCCACAAGGGCAATTGCCACGTGTATGACACGTCTGGTATATATCTATCCCTCTCTAGTTGCATTGTTTTACTGCTGTGACCCCTTTTTTTCTGAGGACTCGGCTAGTGCTGTTATCTAAAGATTGCATTTGCTGTTGTTATCCAGTTGTGCAAACTGAAGTTTATATGTTTTACATGCCTAACATTTTTATATTATGTGACTAGATAATATGCTTTCTTACAAGAAACAAATTGACCTGCAACTCAAGAAAAAGAGATCCAGTCAGAAGAAAATCACAGGATTCCAGGTACTTATCTCACGCACCTGGCATACTTGAGATATTTGTCCTGTCCCATTATGTACTGACACTGAATGATAGTTCCTCTATAGTTTATCCCAGGAAGTTCGTCAAAGGTCATTGTCACATCTGCGGACTCAAGAATCCGAGTTGTTGATGGCTTCGAACTACTTCACAAGTTTAAAGGTAGGTAATACTGAGCTTGGTAATGTCCACATTGGTGCATATCATATTGATTCAGCTTCCTGTGACAATTGGTTTGGTCCAATAGCACCGCATCCACCCCCCCATCCCCTGCGTGCTGTTGATGAGCCTGACTTCCACACCATCTTTCCCTTTACAACACCTGCTATCTGTTTCAACTTTCAAGAAAATGAACCTTTTTCTATTCTGCCAGTTGATTACTATTATCGTTTTTCAGGGTTTCAGAACACCAGCAGCCAAATCTCAGCTTGTTCAGCTGCAAACGGGAGGTACATTATTTCTGCGAGTGAGGATTCACGTGTATATATCTGGAGATACAGTGATGATTCCAAACCAAGCAGAAAGAAGAGCATTGTTCCTGTCACAAATACCCATGAGAACTTCCGCTGCGAGAGAGTAACAGTTGCTGTTGCTTGGCCTTGTGCCAGCGCCAGAATGACTAATAAAGCTAACTCCAGGAAGCAAGATAACCTGGACTGTGTGGCTGGTAATGGTCATGTACTTGGATCCGAACCTGCTAAAGAGGATGAGATTCCTGCTGTTCAGGACCAGAGCAACAATTTATGTAACAATGGCGCGACTTGGCCCGAAGAGTTGATGACAAAAACAAAACAAAGCCCCAAGTCTAATACAACCCATCCCGGTGATGTAGATCAAGCTCCGAGTCCGCCGGCCTGGGGCTTAGTGATCGTGACAGCAGGCCATGATGGTCAAATCAGAACATATCAGAACTTCGGTTTTCCAAGTATAACGTCGATCTGAGTACCCGTATCGTAGACATTGCATTGCAGGACTGTAGTTTTGTGTACATAGATGGAGATAACGGGTGAGTTGCACAGCATTGAAGGATTGACTGAGGTTGCTCCTCGGTGCGCCTGCTTCAGAGTTTCGGAATCTTCGACTAACATATTGTCAGGGCTCAGCTACTTCGATTCGGTATGACATTCATTTACTCTAAATTGTACATGAAAGTGAAGCCCTAGAGTGACGGCTGTCAGCTGGTTGGAGTGATATCATGCTCCTCTCATCCAGCAGCTTCGACCTTGTAGCAATTGTCTGTTCGCCCTTCCCATTTTTCTCATCTTTATATTATATATTTTTTGTAAGAAAGAAAAATCTCAGTGCTACAGAAATGAGAAAATTAAAAGAGTTACACATAGGGTGACAGAACTCGTTCTGCTGGCTTTCCTTTCCTCTGAATGTAGGTAGAAGTGGAAAAGTATCTTACTGTAGCTTTTAGACCATTCCATGGAAGGCATTCTTTTGTTGCTTTATCTGAAGTTATATGAGTCTTGAAATACTTGTTAGTTAATTTCTACCATGTCTTGAGTTCGCAACTGGGTAGTACCTGCACTGCCCGCTCTCAAAATGAGATTACTTGTCAACGACGCATCATCTACTGTGGTCAACATTCAGTTTCAGGAGAAGCGAAATGTCATCAGACGTAACCGCAGGCGCAGGCTACAGAGCAAATTTTAGGCCAATTCCACCGCACGTCCGTTTTGTCCGGAATTTGTCCGTTTAGGGTGGCAATGAGGACAGAAACGGACATGCGTGTCCGGCTTGCGTTCGAGGCGCCCATCACGACAGAACGACCCAAAACGTCCGCCGCCTCCCTCCCCCACCCGCTCGTCGCTACACCTCGCCGCCTGCATGCCGCCGCGCGCGCCCTAGCGCGTCGCCGCGCCTCGTCGCCCGCGTGCCCCCGCCTGCCTGCAGCAGCATTGGTCGCCGCCCGCTCGCCCTCGCCCCCGCCTCCGTCGCGCCGTGCTTGCTTGGCCGACGCCGCGCAACGC